TCAATCAATCAATCAAACCCCTTTTCTGAAGTTTTTTCTTTATTTATTTTCAAAATTTGCATTTGCATTTTTTTAAAACACCTCGTACCCCTGCAAAAAACAGCAATTCATTTCTAAAAAAATACAGGGGAACTCAGGGACCATATATCTCATGATAAAAAATGACCAAAAAAAAATCCAACTTTTCTTTATTTTATTTTATTTTTTTTAAATCGAATTTAGTTTTTGATTTTTTAAAAATCCTAAACAAAGTCGGATTCCAAAAAAAAAATATGGGGTTGTAGGGCTTAAAATTCCCTACAACCCCATATTTTTTGTTTTCTTTTTAACCTATTGATTAATTCAGGAAAATTCTGGTAAAATCGGGTCCGCGGCGCGGACCAGGTCCGCCGCGGACGCGGACCCGTCTGCGTCCGCCATCCGAGATCCGACCCGCGGACGCGTCCGCGGGTGTTTCATAGGGAGGAGGAGGAGGAGGGGGAGGAGGAGGAGGATAGTAGCAGCCTAGCAGGAGAAGAAAACAAAAAATAAGATGGAAAAAAAAGGTGCACGCTGACGTGGAAGCCGCCCAGTAATCAGCATCAAAAATGGCAGCCCGCCGACCTTCACCAACAACAACAAAATAGCAGTGTCGCTGACCTTTGATGCCACAGATACTTCGACCAACGCAGCAGTCCTGGCTCCACCCGCAATCGTATTCCCCCAACGCAGCAACAGTCTGGCCTGGTGCAGAATGATGCATCGCTGGTCCTTACACTGCTATCTCCAACTCGTCGTGGCTTCCTGGTACATACTCTCGATCCCTTCTCCTTTCTCTCCTCTGTGTCTTGCTCATTCGTTCTGCAATGTACAGCGGATCGGCCAATGGGTATGCTTCCAACCTCAGTGGCCTGCCTCCAAACACGAAAAGATTCCTCTCATTTTCCCTTTTTTCCCAGATTTGTACACAGGCTAACTCCGTTGTTGTGCACTCGGTTCATCCCGCCTCCTCACCTAAGTCCGACAGGTACGTATTCCTCTTTGTTCGCCTTTCTTCCCTCTCTACGCCCGTTATACCCGATATTCGAGCGCGCCTGGCCTCAAACATGGCCAGGTTCGTCCAATCGAGGGAGGAGCTCCGGAAACCCAACCACGCCAATGGAAAGAAGCCCTTTGATCACAAAGACAATTTAACTACCAATCAAACCTTCACTATGATCGAAGACCATCGTGCTTGAGAGTGAGGTCGATCGTTGGGCAGCAACGAGGTCGTCGTATAGTGGGACTATCACAAGCCGTTGCGCTAAACCGTGGTGATAGGCACTCCTATGAGCATCGCGATCAAGAACGGCACTGGACAGGGTGAGCACAGCCTGCCATTTTCCCAGCGTACACAACGAGAGTGAATCCCTCCCTAAAAAATAGGATTGTTCATTTGTACCAAAGGGAACTTTCTCCCTGAGCGCAGCTTATGCCGGCCACACCGGTCGAACTGCTGCATTAGATCAAGATCCGTCGTGGTCAAATGCTTCTTAGTATTCATGAATCCCAAATTCAAACTTTACCTCCTCGTTCACTCCTTCTCCACCACCTCCGCTCGACATTTTTTTTTCCACTAACTTCTGTAACACTAACTTTCTTCTAATTCCGACCAAACTATCTAACTCGCAACTATCATAAACCTTCGTTTAGCACTTTAGATTGTTGAAAATGGTCATAGAATGACTGATTTATTCCTATCCCACTCTCTTTCTTCTTTCTGCTCCATAGCTCGGCGTAGCCCATTTCCCTACCGATTCCCTCTATACTAACTTTCGCTCGAATCTGACTCTAGATCCGGATGCGCACATCCCACAAACCTAGAACCTAGGTTTTACTCCGCCTGATTCCATCAAGGATCGGGAAGTAATTCGTCTGTTGTCGTCGCCTCTTACTCTTACTCTCCACCATCTCTGTCTTTGAATGCATCCGGCGCAACATTACGCTCAGGTTCGACTTCTCCCTCCTTTGGCATTTTTGGTGTCTCGGCTACTAACGCCGCCTTCGACAGGCAGCGGTCCGACAACGCCCAGCGTGGTCCGATGTGCTCGGCCGGTCAGGCAATCGCATGAGAAATTTCGACGGAAACCAGCTACAAGCTGGCTCGAATAGTCTTCCGTTCCTATACTCAAGTCCAACAACAGTCTACACGGCAGGCCACAAGTCTCGGCCCTGGTACCCCTAGCCTACTGAGCATATTGTGCGTACTGTGCCTACTGTGCCCGACCTTTCGGGTCCCAAAAACACAGCCCTCCCCGATCTTCTTACCACAGTCGTGGCTGGCGGGAGGTACATCGCCTGGCCACGACTGCCCAAGCCTACTCCACCATCCCGCGGTCCCCTTACGCAGGGCTTAGTGGTAGTAGCAAATATTCAAATGAGAACTTTAAAGACCAAAGTGGAGAGAGGGCTCAACGGGTGAGCAGCAGCTGCAGCGACCTTTCCATAGTGCCCCGGGCCACTCTTTGGCTTCATCTACATTGAGGATCAAATCCCCCATTGGCACGCTGAAATTGGCGGCCCGTATCTTCAAAACGAGCAGAATGAAGAAACTTCGTCAATATCCTGAATGCGTTGGAGCCCGTAAGTCAACCAAAGGAGGCGCCCGCTTGAGATCCTCGACCGCCACGACGACCTCAAAAATCGGCGCTATGTCTGGGTCAAGAAATGCCGACGCGTGAAAATAGTAATAAAACAATAATAAAATAATGAAATATCTAAACCTTTTAGCCGTCAGAATACAACGACCACGGGAAAGGAAATTGTTAGTATCTTTCCAAGGCCTCTGGCAACGAAACCAAGGGGGATAGCCCCGTCGGGCCCTCAACCCCTCGGTCCCTTCACGCTACTTTGATATCCCCCGCCGTCGTCGCTTGATCTCGATCCCTGAATCTCCCGAATAGAAGTCTGATACCGTAATCCATAGTGCAAGGCCCAAGGCTGGGTCTAGTTTTGACGGACATCTAAATATGACGGTTACTGCGCGATGCTCAGATCTGCCAAAATTTTCCAAAATCACACTGTTGTCGATGTCGTCCCCCTCACGTACTCACAAGTCACAGATAAGCGCACCAATCAGGAGGCAAAATCTTTTTAATCCTAGCTTAATCACAAAAATAAAATTTGGCCGGCACAGCGTCGGTTCTACAATAATCAACAATAAAAAAAATCACGCGCGCCTCAAGTCTGAGCGCTCTGAGCGTCCACACACTCCTTACTCTAGTCATCCATTCAATCGTCGTAAACCAGGACACAACCGCGCCTTGCACGGTATACTTAAACTTTAAACCCAACTTATTTTCTGTCACTTGCAAAAACCAAGGCGGATACCCTTGTAAGGGTATTTGCGCCGGCAACTTACCGGACCATATTAAGCGATGTCACCGTCGCTTCACAAAATCGAAGGCTATCAACTCACCCGTAATCAACATGCTGACGAGAAAGAAACCAATCCGATTAGTCGACAAACTCCGGTTAGAAACCTCCATCAATCCATGTCAAACACATCTATATGCTGCAAGGATTCTAAACTGGGTCCCCATTGTCATAACATTAGGACGCCGGGATACTGGCATACATACTACAGCATACGTTCCGGCGGCCCTCTCAACCGTCCTCTCTCGATTGTCCTAGACAAACGCTGACCTCTCGTTAAGTGTCTCAATGTCTCTACCCTACAAGCAGGGCCATAACTAGGGACTCTGACCTTAGCCGAGACCTTTGAAGACATTTGTCTTCCTCCCAACAATTCTCACAATATATATATATATATATATATATATATATATATATATATATATATATATATATATAATCTTATATATATAATCTTATCTCAAACTCTTACTTCAGTCGAGTACAGGAAGGTCAGATCTCCATCTTGGCCCATCATAGTCTGGGTGATCGAGCCAGATGTACGACCCACCACATTGTTAGTTTAGCGGTAATGCCCTCACAGGTTGCACCACGATAGGTTTTCTCCTGATAAGTATCCAATCAGGACTCAAAAAGACTCAATTGACTCGACTTCTATCCAACGCTCTTCCGTAGGAGTAAAACCTTTCGGGGTGGTCACACCATTTAAGTCTTTACTCCTTTGGTGAGACATGGGCCCGCTGCTAGGTTACGCTGGTGAGCTGCCAACACTAGGGGTTGCGCCCTAGTGATGCTAAACTTTACCGTTAACTTGGTCTTTCCTGCAAATGCCCTAAGATTAACATAAGTGGTTGGACGGTGTGTCACAACAATACAGACCTATTGCGGGACTACTCAAAGGTCTGTCACATATAAAGGCATTTACCAACCCTCTGTGGGACAACATAGAGAGCACGACATCCTCTCCACTTTCACAAATGGACAAACAAAAACTTGGTCCTTCTCGCCAGACTTTATCATTGAAATCAGCTTCTCATGCCATTAAATCTTTTAACCACCTTTCAATCAAAGGAGGTCCCACTCATTAGGTTTCCCAGTCATCCCTTTCTTCTCTAGGATGGACTCTCACGCGACCTTTCCTTAAAACACCTTCCCTCTCTGAAGACGAGTCTCCAAATAAGCAAAAGACTACCTTCTCACTCGAAGGTGTCTCATTCATAAAACAACTCAACCGAGAGACCAACTTTTGGGTCCTCATCACAACTCAACAATAAACATTCGACATGGTAAAGCGTTCGAGTCGCAAAGACTCATAAATCCCTTAGGATTCTCACATCCTTCACAAAAGCAGTCAGCATTTCCTCCCGTTATACCCGACCCTATCATCCGCCTGTGGGCAGACTGCACGAGTATACCGATGAGTAGACAGTTCACATCCATTCACACTCACAAACATACAATATACGAGATGTTTTCCACACATTTCTCACACAAAACCATCATACATCAGGATAAAACCACACATGTGAGAGTGATTGTGATCGTCATATACAAGGGATAGTTTCAGATAAAACCCTTCACTCAATGTGCACTCAGGGATGAGATATCTCATTTAAAACTTAAGTAATGATTCAGACTCGTAACTTACTCAGACTAAGCAAAAATCACTCCCAATATGGTACACGTGTAATGGTACAAGAGAGGTCATATTACCAACAATGTACTCAAACTCAGAACCCATTCTGACCCTCGAGAGTCAGAAGAGTAGCCCTGCTATACACTGTGTAACCGTTTGAACGCCGTGAACGCGCGTTCGCGTTCAAATGTGCGTTTGAATGCGGATTGCGCGTTCGTGTTCAAAATTGAACGGCGTTCAATTTTTTTATTTCTATTTTTTTTTTTTTTAATATTTTGATGCCTAAAAATAGTTTTTTTTTTCTGATTGTTTTTTTGTGGGTTCTATATGATGTGAGGTACATGCCTCTCAATTTTGGAGTCATTTTGCTAAGGCAAAAAAAAATGAAAAATCGCCAAAGATGGCGGTATCAAATCGTGTTCGCTCACTAATTTCAATTTATTTTATTTTATTTTTTCTGTTTTTTTTTTTTTTTTTTCAATTTGGTAACGAATTTAGATGTAATGCTCAGGCAAATTTTGTTTATTTTATTTTTTTTCATAACATATTTTTGTTTCGAAATTGTTTGATTTTTTTTTATTTTTTTTTCCCGCGCGGAATTGAACTCCGCGTTCGGTCCCGTTCATTGAACGCGCGTGCATTCCGTTCAATTTCTGAACAGAAAACTCGCGTTCAATGAACGCGCGGTTTAACAGGCTATACACATGTCACATCCCTCAACTCTCACCCTCAAATCACTAATAAAACTCCTCAATTGTAGTCATACGTTGTGAATCCCATTTATGCAGCCAAAAAGCGTATGTACCAAGGATCTGGAAACAAAAACAAAACAAAAAGAAAGAAACAACAATTTCCTAACTCTTAAGGATGTACACTCTCCCTCATTCCTAAAAACAACAATGACTAACAATCCATAGGTAAATTCGTCCGTACTCACTCGTCTCCTCCTGGTTTTGCCTATATAACTGATCTTTGTCTCCATCGGCAGTTCGCTCCGCTACTCTACCTTGTCTATCGTACATCTTTCCATCTCCCTCTGTGACCTTTCCTGCTGCTTTATCCTTGAGGAACTTTGGACACTGCAGGGCTCTATGTTTCCCCCTCTTGCAAAAAAAACAGGTTGAGTCATACGACTTCCTGAGCCTCTTCTTCTTCCTCTGAGACCCTGGTGACGAAGGTGCCTCACTGACCTCTCTGGTCATCTCATGATTCCGGGATATGTCCATAGGCTCCTCAGGTCTCACCTCCAACCCCTGGTTGTTCGGCTCTATCCGCATCCCAACTCCCTAAGGCCTGTACTCAGGAGTATCTAACCTCTGTGGCATGTCCTCGTAGACACCCTCCATCGCAACTGCCATCTCTCCCTCACGAGGCATCTCCACTCTCTGCTCAGGCTAAACACACCTGCGCCCTCCTGCATATTGCTGACTGCCTCGAGGAGCACGTCCATCGATCCCTCATCTGATCCAGGCGCAGGCTCGTTGGCAGCTGTCTATGGCCTATCTCCAGCTTGTACTGGCATGGACTCTGCCGCTGTCCCAAAAGAAGCTATAGCCTGAGTGGCAAGCTCCGTAGGTGCCCGAAACTTAAAGGCCTCCTTTTCTGCTTCCCTCTTCACCTTTGCCTCCTCTGGCTCTAGTATAACCTTCCCAATGGATGGTTCATGAGTTGGGCCCGCCATAGATGGCTGGCCAAATAAACCCTGCACTGCCTCTCCTTGGATGCCATAGCGTCTACTCTCAGTCCAATCCACCACTTTGGTAGGTGCCTCTGTCTCCATCCTCACTGCCATATCTTGAAGTTGTCGTCTCATCTTCCGCGGCCTGGTTGGTTGTCTGTGCCCTGAGCTCACAGACCTATGCCTCTACTGCCTCCAAAGTCCAAACGTACTCCATGACTCACTCCGTTTATCTTCTTTCCGGCTAGATCATCTTCCAACATCATATACCTATTGAAAGAAGTCTTGGCTAGAAAACGGACCCTACGATTCAGACTCTCTTCGGCCAATCTTGTTGTCCCTATCCCCGCTCTCTCTGGCGAAGTGAGTTCCCCTGCTCTCTGATCCCAAAATTCTCTCCACATCTCAGAGACTCCAAGGGCTTTAGAAGGTACTTCTGGTGGCTGGTCTGGGAGTGCCCCGGCCGCCTCTAATCTCTGTCCGTCTTCCTAAATCTCCTCCACTCGCTTGCTAGTCCTTACCCTCTTTTCCTCAACCGTTTATCTTGGTAATGCTCTCCCTGTTGTAGGACGAGCATCTCTTGATGGGACCTCAGGCCGCGCCTCTATCTCTGCCTGACGATGTTCCTGTAATGGCTCAATGAATGGGGGTCCCTCGAGGTCAGGATACTCCTGGGCATGTGCCGCCAGATATCTATTGACCGTGGAAAGGGCCTCTCTCCTACAGCCTGTCTCCTCCCGCTCCATCTCCACTCTCACCCCCGGCGAAATAGTCTTATCTGGGGGAGGTAGTGAAATATCTCCACGCTGCAACTCCTCCTCTACCTCTTGGACATCCTCTGACTCTGGCTCAGACCCTGGTACATGAACAGGTGATTGAGGAGGAGTATCCTCTCCCACTTCAATCACCTCCTCCACGGCTCGCCTCCTCTGAGCACTTGGCCTCGCCTCTCGCTCTGACTCTTGGACCTCCTCCTGCGATATGTCCCCAGTTGGCTCACCATCCCTTATGTCAATCTGTGGCACCCTCCACTGAGAGACTCCCAACTGCGCCTCCAGCTCCTGCAGTGGTCCTCTTGATGGTTCCACCTTCTCTTGCGTATGCTGAGGAGTCTCTCGCAACCTTACATTCATAAAGTGCTGAAAGACTACTAGACCCAACCCGCACTCAGGATATGCCCCTTGCTCCTCTGCCTGTTGCGATGACTCCTCGCCTCGTTGAGCAAGCGCCTTCCGCCCTCCTCGAGACGGTATGGCCTCTCCGGGCTCAGGATCTCTTTGCCTCTTCCTCCTCTACTACCTCTCGACCCTAGGCTGAACCGCTGAGGTGGCTCCGACCGTCGAAAGGCCTCTCTCAGGTGTGCCATGCAACTCTCCCGATCTCGAGCTATGTCCCTAACCTGCCTGGCCAATGGTCTCTCTACCTTTCTGGTCCATAGTGGTAACGTTCGTGCCCATTCATACCTCAATATGTTCTGGTCATGCATGAACTGCTCAAAGGCAAGGATGAACTTCTCCACATTCCCAATCTCCAGGCGGATCGGTGCGCCGTCTGATCCTATTGGTGACAGTCGCAACTCCTGTATCCTCATCTCCATCTCTGGCTAGGTCCTCGCCTCCCTACGGATTCGTGCGATGAGCTTCTCAAATCGGTCGGCTCCCCTCAATCTCTCTATTGTCTGGGTCACTGTCCACCTCTTGTAATCCGCATACCCTCGAAAATCCTCCAGGAAGAGTTTTATATCCCCGTCGTTATATACGGGCGTGTGCTCCCTCCGGTAAGACCCATGCCTCTCGTATCCCCCTGATGCTTCCAACGACCTCCGTGGTGGCCGCGTCTCCCTCCCTCCTCTCGGCATGACTATCTTCGTAAAGTTAGACCTACACAACAGGCGAAGGAGACGACAAGCACACCAAAAGGTGAGCAAACAGGCAAACAGGGTTTCTTCATATCAAAAAGCAAACACACATCATGTCCAACACATTCTACCATCTTACTCCTTTCTAGGACCTAACTACAACATAGAGTCCTACCATAAAGGGTAAGATTGTCTTTCTCAACCTAACTACAACATAGAGTCCTACCATAAAGGGTAAGATTGTCTTTCTCACCTCTTCTCTTGCCACAAACTTCTTCAACCTCGTTCCTGATACCCAATCCTTCCATTTTGTTATATCCAACTCCTCAATCTGGTAGGCGCCGAAATCTCCACATCGCATAAGTCGATATGACCCTAACCACATTTTATCAAGCTTTCTAGACCACTGCTTCTCCAGGGATGAATCATACAGTAATATGATATCCCCAACTTCCAATGGAGCCTTTCGTACGAGTGCCATCTGGTCCCAACGAGCCTTATCATCCCGATTCCTTTCCACTTGATTGGATGCCTCCTGAATTATTTCCTCAATTGCACCCACCTGTTGCGCTCAAATATCTAGCAACTCCTCCAAGGACAGGCTAGTTTCTAGGTCCTTACACCTCCAGGTTTTTAGGAAGCTCTCAATTGGGAAAGTAGCGTGCCTCCCGTACCATAGTGTGGCTGGCGCGTACTTAGTGGTCCTCTTTACCGTAATATTTTCGACGAAAAATGCCGCCCTTAAGTATCTTGGCCACTGATTAGGCCTACCCTCAGTCCACTTAGCCAGAATGTTCGTGATGGTGTAATGCCCTCTTTCAACTGGAGCATTTGCTTGAGGGTGTGCAGCGGTGGTATAATTAGGTACCACGTCATACCGTGACAACAACTCCTATCAGTCCCCCCTGCTCTTCTTTCCTCCATCGGCGTGGCTTTTCTCCCATCGTATAAAGGGAGAGACACAGAGGGAGGGAGGAAGGGAGGGACAAAGGGAGGGCGTCGACTCACATACCTTGATCTACCATGATGACTGCAGGTCCCCGATCGATGACCTGCTACGACGCAACTATCGTCACAATGAGGATTCAGACGTTTCCTCCCGATTACACCGACCTCACCTTCTTGTAACACAGCAAGTGAGGTCGAACATCGATCATGTTCACTTTGCCTCCTTCTCGCACACCATCTCACACGCTGATACTCCAGCCTCCCGGCACACATGCACTCCGTCCTGCCACCATGCATGCACACCCTCCCTCAAACCATCCGCCACCAGTGACACCATCCACATAGTCGTGCGTCACGGCCACTTGCCAACCACTTGCCAACTTACACCACCGGCCACGTCATCCACGTCCTCGTCGTTCGCGCACTCGGCCGAGAAGTGCATAGTGGACCACATGCCCGTGCACCCAGCACTGTCTGCGCCATGCATGGGACCGTGCCCTGTCCGGTTGTTCTCTCACGTCGCCACCCTCCCCTCCTTTTCGCTGCCTCCTCGGGACCCACGCGAGGACTGGCGTTCTGTCGCATTGCCGATTCCTGCTGTCGGCCTGCGCCAGGATCTCTCCGCCGCCGACTGCCCGACATCCCGGCCTCCTCTTCGGCCCGCACGCCGGCACTTCTCCGGCCCTCGCCCCGAGTTCCACCGGTTCCCCCTTGGCCGCTACCCGTAACCGGTCCCGCACGGAGGCACCCAGTTTCTGTTGGGCCCCACATGAGGACCGTTGTTTCCTTTAGTAGTATAAGGATAGCATTTATATGATTTTATGTCTGAATTTTGAAAATGAAAAACTGAGGGTCAGGGATACCACACAGCTTTTTTTTTCCTCTTTTTTTTCTTTTTTTTAACAAGTGCTTCAATCTATTCGTGGGGAGCAGCACGTGCTGTGAACCGGGCCCAGCGTCCCATAGAGAATTGTACAGTTTATTTGAGATCCTTTGGGATACCCGGGCCATTACCCGGCTTCGGCTGAGAACAGTCTGAGAACACGATGTGATTCAGAAGTCCTAGGGACAATCATGAATATTTGTTGGCCTATCAAGGAACTACACATGCACTAAGCTGCCCTTCGAATGCTCACAACCCTCAGAATCCCTAACAAACCCTTCTAAAACATTCCAGCACTGTCGTACTCCCTGCCGAGCTTTTCCAGGCCTCATGCCCCCACCCTGCTGGGTTAGAGGGCAACATGAATCGCCCCAACTCCGACCAGCGTCGTCCCAGCAGCAACCCTTGGTTGCCACACAGCTTATATCGCCACCATGTAGATTTTGTTGGGATGTTAGGCCCACTTCCATCGTGGTAGGTCCCATTAACAGAATGGATCGCAGAAAGAAAGGGTGAAGGACAGAAATAAGTTCAACTAACCCCTCTACACGCCCGAAAGAACAGAAATGCCCTGGCCACTTTGGCCAAAGGATATATGGGGGGTTGCACAACAAGACAATACCTTTTTTTTTTCTCTTTTTTTTCTATAAATGGCAGCCGTCGCCGGGCCCAGCCTCCGAATTCTTCGGGAGCTGGTGTTTCCCCTCATTTCTGAAGCGGCAAAGGTACTGGTGTTTTATCGAAAACTTCAGTGTAAGCGGAACACTTAGCGAGGTGATAAGAGCATCCTTGTTAAGTGAGTGTACTTGGAAGGCTCCATCTATTCGGGGGGAGCAGCACCGGCTGGAAAGCGGGTCCAGCGTCCCAGATTGATACTTGGTGACAAGTCAAATAAAAACAAATCAAATCAAATGAAATCTAACCAATCAAGTCCAAGCCATCAAATCTGATCAAATCCAAACAAATCCAAACAAATCCAAACAAATCCAAACAAATCCAAACAAATCCGATCAGTCCAAGGAGTGAAATGAACAATGGAGAAAACTCAGCACACTGCCATCTCTCCCCCCATGAGAGATATGCAGACAACAGCGTCTTCCTTGCTGCTTGTTCCAGTTCGGTAGTGTGAATGGACTACTCACCAACAGGTAAGCACATCGCCCCAACAGCAGTGATGCCGGGGGAGGAGAGCCGACACTCAACAGGAACTGCCCCCCCTCCCCTTCCAGTTTGATTGGTGTGAAATCAACAGCAGTTAACCGTCATTACAGGAGGGTCGCGGCTGCGGGAGGGGATAGAAGAATCAACAAACCACAATACATATCCCCTACTCTCCCCTGCCCAGTGATTGGATATCCAACCACGAAATGAATGCTCTGCTTATGAAGTGCAGACCTCTCCTCACTCCCAACTACCCCACCCTCTGTAGCAATTCGCAGGCAGGCACAACTTCATATAAAGGCAGAAGTTTAGGAAAGCATTCGCCAACACAGGAGGCATGCACAGAGCGGGGAAGTAAGCCCAGGGGGGGATGGCAAGAGAATGCACGTCCCAATAGAGAGTCCCATTCGCCCAAACCCCCGAGTTGAACATGAAGCAGGGGAACAAAGGGCAAACAGGAAGGGGAAAGCGGAGTCACACTCACTAGCCAGCCCCACGATCCCTTGCCTTCAGCCCTCCAATCACCATGATATGAATCCGACAGCATAGGTGATTGGGGCAGAATAGGCAGCACTGGAAATACTCCCAGTAGTTGAGCCGATGGAGTGGACGATAGATGCTGCGTTGTCGAAGATGCACCGTAAAAAAAACATCGTTGTAGATACTGACGCTGGAGAAAGCGTCGTTATCGGTGTTGATGTAGTAGATGTTGTCATCGCTGCTGTTGATGTCATTGAAGATGCTTTTGAAGATGCAGCTGCTGCTGTTGATATCGTCGTTGATGTCGTTTGCTCCCCTGTATTGCAAGATGATATCCTGACGCACTCAGGAGTAGGCATCGTAGGTGTGATGGCCGAAATTGATGTTGCCCCCAGGTCGTGAGATAATGCAGGGATGCACTCCGGAGCAGTTATCATAGTTGTTGTTGATGTAGTCGATAAAGTTGTCGATCCACTCTGACAAGCGCCTGGCAGAACTTGACCGTCTCAACCACTCCTGCGGCCCCGCTTGTCCTCAGAGATGAGGTTATTGAACACAGATCTTGAATATTATCTGCCTCCGTTTCTGTTGGTAACACTCCAGTGCACACAGGAGGCTCCACTGAAACAAGGAGCGCCCCAGGATCATCAACCGAATCTGCAATGCCTGCTGGAGCAGTCTCTTCAGTAACTGATGTTGTAGTAGCTGAAAGAGTTGGGAGATGAAGCAAGGGCCCCGATGGAGATGTTGACAAATTTAAAGGTGTCCGAGGAGAAAGTGCCCGTCCCCCACGATACTTGCTGGTAGCTCGCCGCCCAAGCTGTTCACCAGCGCAGCCCTCTGAGCACACCCTGAATCAAACAACTCATAGCATGTGCTCATAATGGCTGTCACCCGGCTGAAAGGCAAACTCCTCCTCCAGTTCCCCAAGCACCGCCAACATACACTGTATAGTAGCTTTCACCCAGCCTCCATCTCCTGCAGTCAGCGCTGGCCAGTGAGCAGCATGAAGATCCGATGAAAAACAGCCGCCAGGACACCCCGATTCCTTCGAAGCCAAGCCGTCCCTCCTTCGTCCTTGATGTCGTTGGTCCCCTTCCAAGCACAAGGATGCCACTTCACACAAACGTCCTTCAGTACCTACGCAAGAGCGCCACCGTCATGTTGACCACGGAATGCCTTTGTCTCGCCCTTACCGCCACCTACGCTGCCCACTCCATCCAATGCACCAGCTACGGTTTGAGTGTCACCATAGTTGACAGTGTCACCATAGTCTGATGGCATCAACACTCCGCCGTCCTCCTCCGCACCACCAAGGACTTGGATTGTGAGACCGCCAGGCCCACCGGCCGGTCCGCTCGGCGCTCGCCACCAACAAGACAAGACCTTTACGGAAGGTGTAGAGGGACGTGTTGGATGTGAAGGGAACATTGTAATACCTATGCTCCTTATAAAGGAGAACCCGGGTCTCTCGTGATGGGCCCATGCGAGACCTATGGATCCAATGGGGGAAAAAAAGGGTATCCCAATGCCAAGCTTGCAGATCATGCACTTGGGCACGCACATGTCCAGGTGCATTCTTGCTGGGCTAGTTTTTGTATTTCCAACCCTGAGGGCATACACCAACACTTTCCTGAATGTATCTGACTGCAATTCCATCCCGATCTGAATGCGCCTGACTGCTACCATGCCCAGAGCTGAGACCAGAAAGTCCTAGTGCGAGTATGCCCTATTTTTCCCAAAACACACACACACACACACACACACACACACACACACACACACACAAAGGAGCACCCTGATGGCGACGGGTCAGAGTGCCTGGATCTCTGCAGCATTACCGTCAAAATCATGCACCTGGTCTTCAGCGCAGCGCAGGAGCATTCTATCTGAAGGCCAGCATAGTCAGAGAATTGTAAGAATGCAAGACCCCTGGGGCAAGGTCCCACTTGTGCGGATTAAGAGATACTGGCTGTAGATACCAGAGATCAATAGCCTGTATCTCTTAATCGATGCTAGTGGGACCTGGCCCCTGATGGATGGTGTATTTCATACAAAGAAGCCTTGGGAAGAGGGGTCCTTTTTGCTTTGTTGTTTCCTTTTTTTTTTTTTTGAAACAAGTGTGGCAGTGTCACATTTTCAGTTCCGAAAGGACAAAAAAAAACAGTATTCTTGCCCCTTTTTTTGTACGTGTGCCCCGATGGACCACGGATCAGATATTAGGGGTTTGGTGGAGGGTAGGGGGAAAGACAGATCAGAACTAGGAGCAATGTGACGTAAGAGGAGTTCATCTGTGTCAGCAATGGGACGTCAGCAACCAGCTACTCACTGAACTAGTGCGCTTTTTCTTCTGAATTACTCAATTCGAACTTCTAAAAGGACACTTTTTGGGGGGGGTGACCTTTCTCTTCAGGCTACTTTGATTTCCATATCGAAGACCCTTCCCTTCATAACTTCGGGGGCAAGGTCCCACTAGCAAAGAAGATTGAATCTGGACTTTTTTGTGGAAACGCGCAGAAAATCGAGATTGAACTGCTTTTCTATATCTCTGATTAAACACACGTCCAGATTCAGGATATTTGGGCCGCGCCGCACTACTCACCAAACATGGTTTTGCGGTCGGCATCGCCACACTGCCTCACCAATTCCCTTTTGTTCGAAAGAAGTCAGAAGTTGTGCGCACTTCATAGGTGAGGGCTCACCAAAAATGCACGAACTCCCAGCCTTCAATCCATCGATTTGGGAGGAGCGTCTCCGCATACACGAGTTTGGTGAGGTTACACATGTCCACATTGCTGGTCTGGACAGACATGTTGTTCTCTTCCATTGTCTTCAGTAGGCCTGTTGGGACAGAATTCCTTCAAATATTAGAAGTTTGGTGAGGTGGTGTGGTGAGGCCTGGGTTTGGTGAGTTCTTGGGGCCTCGCTGCATTGGTGAGCACTCACAAACCATTGTCAAGTTTGGTGAGTAGTGCAGCGAGGCCCTTTATACAACCCTCTTTGCTAGTGGGACCTTGCCTCAGGGGTTCAGTCCCAGCACAGAGGATAATTTGGACATAACGCCAAAATCTGCATGTGTCTGCAGAGAGGTGCAGAAAATTGCAATTGATTTGCTTTCCTGATTCTCTGCATAAAA